TGGTGTATGATGAGTGGTGTATGATGAGTGGTGTATGATGAGTGGTGGTTGAACAGCTGTTGAATGTCCGTAACACGGAAGTTTTGCACACTAAACTTCCTTTGACAATATTATTGATTAGAATCAAAAGCCGATGCTCAGGGGAACTCCGCTAAAAGTGCTGTGGCAACGATTTCTTCTACTTTGCCGCTGCCGGAATTTGTGGCTACGAGGCTTTTGAGTTTCAATCCCCTAACTTGTGGAATCAGTTTCGAAATCTTGGTTGGAATGCCACACGGAATTGGCTTCATGCATCACCAAATGCACGAGCGGTTGCACTTGGCGCTGTCGTGACCCCAGCTTGGATGTTCCCGGCTCATGCTGAGACCCATGAACATGTCCCTGGCGTTCTTGCAATGCCAGTGAGGCTTTCTTTGACAATTTGGCTTGGGACTGTCCAAGCCGACTGTCCACTCTCTTAAGGCCCTCTGATCCCTTCCTTTGGTCCAGTGGCTGAGCAAATTGTGGCCAGTGTGTGGCAGCAGTGCTATGGCGATAGCGCTGACCCTGAGATTAGCCTCGCCGTTCACTCTGCAGCAGTGGCGCTGGATGCAGACCAAAGAGATGATGATGACGGCTTGAGTTGTACGTGTTTTCCCTTCGAAAGAACTGGCCACAAAAGATGTCAAGGGTCGTCTAGTGAATCCAGATATGCACAACTGGGTTTTCGCGTGGCAATGGCGGCACAATGCCCAGATCCGCTGTCAGAACCTTTGGGCAGCAGTCCCTGAACTCTTTCGTTGACCCGCGTGTTTAAAATTCAGCGTGAAAAAAACCCACAGCCGCTAACGGCGGCTTCCCCTGGTTCATGCTAGGCTTGGTGTTGCTTTGCACCAGAACCTCCATGTGCAGATGTCGTGGTAGGTGCAGCACTTTGTGAACCTCCATGTGCAGATTTCGTGGCAGGCACAGCACTTTGTGCACCTCCATGCGCAGATTTCGTGGCAGGCGCAGCACTTTGTGAACCTCCATGTGCAGATGTCGTGGTAGGCGCAGCACTTTGTGAACCTCCATGTGCACATTTCGTGGCAGGTGCAGCACTTTGTGCACCTCCATGTGCAGATTTCGTGGCAGGTGCAGCATTTGTGAACCTCCATCACCAATAGCATACAATAGTAGCCAGTACATGCAAGATTACCCCTTTGACAAGGCTATTCAGAGCCACAAGGCTATTTGTGTAAAGCTTGTATACTTGTGAGGCTTTGAAGTGAACATGACAAAGATCAAGAAACATTTGAATAGGTTAAAATGCATGTCATGCTGATATATATATATATAGAGAGAGGGACATTAAAAAGAGATGGGGGGTGAGATAGAGAGTAAACCTAAAGAGCCACCACAAGATGAGGCCACTGCAGGCCCAATCCAGCTTATACACAAAGCCTTTAGCAGCCTTTACAGGCTTCCTTTTTGCATTTCAATGATATAAACACAAAACAGCCAGTAGTGTCACCCATATATCCTTTCTTCCACTGCAGCTCTTGCCAAAGAAGCAGAGACATTATACCAGCAGTGAAGTTTCATGTATGTTCAATGGTTTTGGTTTGAAGTTTCATGTCCAGCAGCTAGATGACAAACACATGCAAGCCAAAGCAGGAGAATAGCTTTCACAAGGGCTATGTTTTGAAGGGGTTTTATTGAGGCTTCATCTTTTGCATTTTGCTTGAGAAGTTGCCATGGCAGCACCTTCATCTTCAAAGAAAAGGAAAATCAGTGAGCTGAGAAATGCAGTGCCATTTTGTTCACAGAGTGCATTGAGTAGTATTTGCCAGGAAATTGAGAAGCATGGCATGCCACAACAGCACACCAGGCAAGCCATTTGGAAAGAAAACAGTGCTCTTTTGGAAAGTGATGAGATGTCCAGGTATGGGCCCTTGCTCAATTCTGTGGAGCCTCATCTGGAAGAAGGCCCCAAGAGAGGATCATCCATATCTGCCAAGGAAGGTGAAAGAGTGCAGATCTTTTATGTCAACTTCCTTTCTCTATTGGCAGGTGTCTTTTACAAAAACTCTGCATTTGCAGAGTATATGCTCAAGCTGCACAGCCTCACGCCTTCAAGCATCAGAAAACCCTGGCGACTCTGCATATATTGTGATGAAATACATCCAGGGAACATCTTGAATAGTTCTGGCCGCAAGGCCTGGTGCTGCTATGTTAGCTTTCTTGAATTTACAACCATGCTTTGCAAAGAAGACTTGTGGTTCACATTGAGTATAATCAGGACAGTGCAAGCTTCCAAGGTGTCAGCTGGAATGTCTCAGATTTTCAGACTGCTGATGGAGCAACTCTTTTCTTCAGGCACTCCACAGACAGGAGTTCTCTTGTCCAGTGACAAAGGCAGCATGCGATTGTACTTTACATTGTCCATGGTTCTTCAAGATGGTGCTGCACACAAAGCTATTTGGATGTGTCGACAAGATGTAGGGTCCAAGCCCTGCATGCTTTGTGCAAACATTTTTCATCTCAAAGGTATCGGTGGTGATGAAACTGAAGACGAAATCTTGTCTAAGTTTTGCAAGCGCAGCCAGCTCAAGCTCTCTAGCGATGCAGAAATTGTTGATTCTTGGAACAGAATGGCTGACAGATTCAATGTGCTTTCACAGGTGGAGTTCAACCAGTGGCAGCAGGCCACAGGGGTATCTTTCAGTCCACATGGCCTTCTGTCAAGCAGCACTTTGCAGGGTCATGGTTTATTGCTTCCTGCCAGCATGTATTGCCACGACTATATGCACACAATGTGCTCAAATGGCATCATGGTTGATGCAGTGTATCTGGTCTTGGAGGCTCTTTTCAGTGCTGGATACAATGCTTGGAGCTTGTTGGGCCAATGGTTGTCTCTATGGGTTCTTCCAAAAAACCAGCAAAGCTTTGACATTGCCAAGCTCTTTGATGCACAAAAGGTGACCAAGTACAGAAAGGATAAGGGCTTCAAGTGTTCAGCCTCAGAAATGTTGACACTCTACAAGCCTCTTCAGTACTTTTTGGAGGTCATGTACATGAGCAACAATTGCATGGTCAAGGAGTGTAGATCTTTCATTGCATGGTGTCAACTTTTGGACTATCTACAGAGCATACCCTATTTGGACAGCCCTTGCCCCAAGACTTTGTTGGGCCTTGTTGAGAGTGCATTGGAGTGTCACACATTGGCAGGCTTTGCAAACTACACAAAGCCTAAACATCATTGGACCCTTCACTTCTTTGATTGTTTGAAGCGCTGGGGTCAGCTGCCTTCATGCTGGTCCTGTGAGAGGAAACACAAGACAGCAAGGAAATATGGGTCTGTGCATTGTAACTTGAAGACCTATGACAAGGGTCTCTTGGTGGCTTGCACTTGGAGCATCTTCATAACCTTCAAGATGCAGAGTTGTTTGATGACACTTGTCATTTGCTGTGCCCTCGAGATGTTCCCAAATCTTTGCACCAGAAGTTGAAGGCAGAAGGGCTGCAATTTCAGAGTGTGCAGTCAGCAACAAGCTGCAAGTTGTCATCAGGCTCCACTTGTACATGTGGAGATGTGGTATTCTTCACAGATGCTGCAAGCAATGGCTTGAGATGTGGCAAGGCATTGCATTTTCTGTTGGTGCTTGATGTACCATGTGTGCTGCTGAATGAGTTCAAATTTGTGGAGCAGAAGACCAAGACAGCCACTGTGTGGGAAACTTATGACCACAAGCAGCTGCTGCCACTTCAAGATGTCTTGCAGCCAGTGGTGCACAGCTTTGGACAGAATGGCAGGGTGACCTGCCTTAAACCTGCTCCTCTGCTTCACAAGTGAAAAAGCTGAGTCTTTGCAGTCAACATGGCCATTGCAGGCTTTGACTTTGGCCTCTACAGGCTGATGTTTAGCCTCTATATAGGCTCAAGTGTTTAGCCTCTACAGGCTCAAGTTTTTTACTTTTTTACAAACATGTTTTTGAAAAAAATGTTGCACATAGTGTTTTGGTGAAGTTGCTTATTTAACATTTTGTGAAATTGTTTCTTTAAAAAAATATTGTCCAGACCAAAGAAATATCCACAATGGAAGTATGTTTTTCACCAAATGGAAATGTTTTTTGGTGTTTTTTAATGATACATTTTTGAGAATTACTAACTAATTAATAATAATTATAACTAGTTAGGAACTACTTAGCTAACTATGTTAATGTCCATAACATATAAGCAAACCACCAGAACATCAAAGTACAACTTTAGTACGCGGAGCAATCTGTGGAGCTAGACGCTGAGAACTGGCGACTTTGTAGTACAACTTTAGTATACGGAGCAATCTGTGGAGC